ATTACTACATTTTTTTTAATAAAGATAATAATTAATAAGTTAAATTAATTATTTATTAAAAATTAAAAATTTAATTTCTAAATGAAGATCAACACCACTCTTTTTCATTGAGGAACATGATCCAACAAACCACATTATAAAATTCTTAAAATTTTGAATTTGATATAATGACCTTGGTTGTAGTTGGCATGTCATGTCAGTATTAATTGGTACCTTTGAAAAATCGCCTCTCTTGTAGATTTTTTCCATCCAAAGGTACCATAGGTCCTGGTCATTGTCCATAGTTACTGTGCTGGTGCTTCTTCTGCGTCATTGCATAGGAATTTGTGTGTGGTCATTTTGAGATGCTTTCATAAAGTAAGTTGGATGTTTATACACGGTTTCAAAAGGCGACAATGACTTCTAATTTTTCTTCCAGTTATAACCTCTAATGTTAGATATGATTGTAACTGACAATTATTTATAATATTTTATCCAAGAAGTAATTGTATCCAGCTAATTTTGGGGTCCCATAAGAAAAAGACGAGGAAGACTTCGAATGATAAGTAAGTTAAAGTTGTTTAGGGTTGTATATATTTTTTAAATTAAAATTTTGAATTTGATGTAATAGTTTTGGTTGTGGTTGGCATGTCATTTCAGTATTAATTGGTATCTTTGAAAAATCGCCTCCCTTGTAAGAGTGAGGCCATGACTTGACCTCCTTTGTCTCACAATCTGCAATGAACCCTTTTGTAGATTTTTTCTCGCGAAAGGAGTTCCTTGGTGTACGACGATTTGTCTCGGTAACTTCTGCGTCATTTCTTACGTTTCCATTTTGTGTGATAAGATGCGTCGCAACGAAAGTTAAACGAGATTCATACACGGTCCCAAATTAAACCCAATCCAAGCACAATAACAATGCACCTTTTCTACGCCACATTTCTTTCAAAATGTTGTTTTTGTCATCAATATCTTCAAATGTATTGTGGCCTCCACTCTCAACAATAGTTATATCTACTGTTTGAAAAGAAAATGCAGCTATAATTAAAGGGAGAAATTCCTTATACGTACCACCGAAATATGAGTCCCACATAGCAGATTTTTTTTTTTTGGCCATCGAAGTATAATACATGTGACACAAATTGTCTCTACCTAACATTCCCCAACTCACTCACAAAGCAGATCAACACCAATTTGGTATTACTATTAGTGTTGTAATTTTCTAGTTCTTTTGCTCTTTCGGTGCCTCCAAAGTTGTATTCAGAATATTTGTGGACTGTAAAGCTTGTCTGTTCCAGTTGTTAATCCACTTACAGCTTCCCCGATCATCGATTCGGGCTCAACCTAACAGTCTTCTTTTTTAAAGAAAATCAAGAACGGCCCAACATACTAGAGGTGGACTTTAGGTTGGACCAAGAAAATGGACATATAAGGCCCCAGGCCCATACATAGACTAGCCTTCTTTGCAGCATTCAATCATCTCGAAGATAAAACAGAGGACCAAATCCAATGACGATTATATTTGGCAAATACGACTTTCCTAGCCCTAGGCCCTCGCATATCTGGTCTTCACAGTTCAGGCGGACTATTGATTACTGAGCTCAATAGAAATTCGGCCGAACCTGACCTATGGGTCAAGTTGGTTCCGTCGTTCTAAAAAGTTTACCTTTTTTTTTTTTTTGGGGTAACGATTTCATTCAGTTCCATGACAATTGTTTAAAATAATAAAAATTTGGCTTTCTGCATTGATGCTAGGGTCTACCGCTATTTATAATGCAATCTTTCAAACTAAGTGTTAGAATATCGAGTATTTATTTTAAAATATTATATTTATATTATAATTGATTATATATATTTAAATTAATTAATTTTATATTTATAAATATTTTATTATATAAATTTATATATAAAATCTTTATATATACAATAAAAATAATAAAATAATAAATCTTTTTTCAAAATTTACCACTAAAGAACTCCTTAATATTGTTACTAGTAACTGCTCCATCTTACTTGAAAAAGTGGTTTGATATAATAATTTAAAATTAACAGTTAAAAGTTAGAAACTAACAATCACTGGATACAATGACATTAACGGTAGGACAAGGATAAGGTCAGCCGCCATCTAATTAGCTACATCAGTTTGGAGAAAAGAGAATTACTCTGGAACTACCGAGCTCAATTGAAATTTGTCCTTCCGCATTGGTCTTTGGATCTACTGTTATTTATAATCTAATCTTTCAAACTACTCCTTAATAATTTTCCCACTAACTTATCCATCTTAATCTAAATCACTTTAGGAGCATATTACTGATACTTTACTAATTAAAGTTTCAATGTTGTTTAATATCTATTTTATGAAAATAAAAAATTTTAATTTCAAATTATGTGATATGTAAATGAGATAAATTAAAACATAAAAAAAAAATAAAAATTTTACATATAAAGACATCACTTTTGAAAAATAATTTAATTAATATTATTATTTTTTTATTAAACTAATCAATATTATCACCTTTACAAAGTTTTTAAATAAAGAAATCACCTTTTTAATTTTATTATTTAAGGATTAATTAGCAAATGAACTCCGGCTGTGAAACCCACTAAATTGCTGATGTGTCAACAAAATTAACAGGTGGCTGCCCTGGAGCTGATTTGTACAACAAGCACAAGTGTCAACACCGATAAGGGTAGTGTTGGCACCCAACCCGCGCAGGAGGATCCATTTTCCTTTTATTCATTTTAACAAAAAAAATATAAAAAATTAGAAAATAAATCATAAACATGGTAATGAATATATAGATTAGTTACACACAATAAAATACATTACATAAAATTATTAAAATTAATTTATTATTTAAATATGTTATATGAAATATGTTAAATAAAAAATTTATTCAACGCACCATACTAAATTTTTGACAACAAAATTAATAAAAATAGCAATTTTAAGAAGTTATCATCGCTTGTCTATGTTCGAAAATTTTGACTTCTTAAAATTTTTATTTTTATTAATATAATTGTCAAAAATTCAATATGGTGTCTTGAATAAAATTTTCAATTCAGAGTCTTGGACTCCCACCTACTTGGTCTATAAGAAAGCATGATGATTAGCACCTTAATCTCATTCAATCTAAGGATCAGTATCCATAATTCAAAAGTATTTCTATGTGGACATGACCAGAAGAGACTGTCCAGTATAAATGACCAAGACTGCAGCAGGACATGGCAATTGGCAAGGAGTGATCTGCTTCCCTGTAATCCTTTGAGATTGTTGTGGCTGGTGAATCTGTGGCATTACTGACGTCGAAGAACAAAGATGCTTCTGTCTGTAGACTCTTCCAAGCAGAAGTACTCTAGTTGTTGCCATCCACCCGTTTATCTGTAAAACGTGTTGTGAAAACTCCTGCATTACCAAGGTGAAATCATTAGGCACTACATTCCCAGAGCAGATAAGAGTTTACTTAAAAACATAAAACCCAAAAACAACCAAGTAATCTTTATTGCCATCTTTCTGCTTTGTGATTCTCATAACTAATAACTCAAGTCATTTCTTTCTTGCAACGTACCATATTGATGCTTTTGAAGGAACATCAGTAGTGATCATGGGAAACTAATGAGCAACCAGACAGCAGAAATCAAATTTGCAAAAACAAAATAATTATGAGAATTCAAAAAGCTTATGTTATCTTACAGCAAATCGGTTCAAGAATATACCTGTCATTGTTTTCCTACAAGAAGGAACACTACTTGGTGAGAATTGATATCCTGAGGTTTGCATTTTCGGCTATGCCTAAGCTGCAAAAGGAAGTCCATAAGCTACTCCTCTTGTCTGACCCTTGAATTGGTGAATTGCCATACAAATAGCAAGATATTGGGACACCCCTCCTGCTGGGAGCAAAATTGAACACCTACAAAAACAACTGGTACAATTCAGATTCAAGCAGGCAACAAACTTAGGTATATCTTAAGAGTCTTCTCAAAAGTGTAGGCATGGTGCCTAATTAAGACTTATAAAAGATAAAACAAGCATACTGGAATCATCTTTCACTGGATTAAAGCTGCTTTCATCCTTTCCTCCAGCTATTGTTTATTTATTCAATGATGACCTGTTTAAGAGTTAAAGTCAATGACCAATGCAAAATAATTACTCAAGTTGCATTCAATTGATAGTCAACTTTAGTAAAGCTGAAATTTACAAAAAAAAGAAAAAAGAAAAGAAAATGAAGACGAAAAAATTACTTTGGGATTGAAGCTATATATAAGGCTGACTGGCTTACCATTAAAGCCGAGCCATCAAGAACAATGTCACAAATCAAAGATGCCTTGATGTACTCATGAGCTAACTTAAGCAAACTCGGTTATAGCTGCATCAAGCAAAATTGAGCATCCCCAAGAACTCACCGTATGATTCAAATTTTTGAAGAACATGAGTTAATTTTTATCATAAGAGGTTGCTAAGTGCTAACTTAAAATACTACATGCTAGAAATGCAATGCCATAATACTAAATAGACTCATAAAGATATAGAAAGAATACCAGAGTGATCATCTTTCACTTGCTGAAGCTACTTTCCACCCATTCTTGTGCTATTGCTTGCTTATTGGATGAGCATCTCTTATGTGTTTTAAGCCAAATGACCTAAAAGTATACTGATATACTATACACAAAGACAGGCATGCACAGGTATAATAGCCAAATTATAATTTACTAGAAAGTAGGAATAGTCCTAACTGTCTTTAGTGTTTTTCATTGTCCCACAAAAATTAAAACAAATGATGGCACATACACAGTATCACAACTGTAATCTACAAGCAGAGAAGTCCAGAAAAGAAATGTCATAAATGAACAAAAGCTTGAATACAAAGATTTCCCCAAAGTTGCCCGGAGCTTTTCTCAGCACCCAAATGAAGGTTTTAGCAGAACATTATAAAAGCACACAAATCTACCACCACAACCCACTAAAAACAGGAACTTTAACGAAATAATAGCAAGGATTTAGCTCAAATTCACAGAGCCAGCACAATCTCAATTAAACAAACTAGAAAAAAAAAAAAAAAAACGCAAAAGATTGATCATTACTGATTCAGAAAAGGAAAATGAAAACGAGAACTGAACATCTTAGAACTGAAACTGAGAACCCTAAACTCGTCCAAGGAGAAGGACAGAGACACAGTTCAAGAGAGAAGCTGAAAGGTGATCCCTTTCTCTCTTTAAAACTCTCCCTTCAGAACTAGAGAGGATTTGGGAGGGATAATTTCAGCCTTTTAGGTTGGTTTTGCAGAACAGGGTCTGAGCAGATTGTTTTTGGGGATTTTTTTAAGGTTAAACCCCCATTTTGGTCCCTCAACTATCGTACGGACCCCCGATTTGGTCCCCTCAACTCAATAAATCCATGATTTGGTCTATACTGTTTACCATTTTTACCCTAACTTGGTCCTTCCGTTAAAAAACCAGTGACGTGTCCTATTAACTAACGGGATCACAATGACATGTCAACATAGTGTGACACGTCAGATGCATACCTGTAAAAAATAGACAACACGATAAAAAAATGATGACATGAAAAAAAATAATATATCAAAAAACTTAAAAAATTATTTCTTTTTCTTTTTTCTTCTCTTTTCCTTTCTTTTCCCCTTGCAACCCAGCGCCTACTGGGTTCCTTCAAACTGAGGCGTCCTAGGTTCCACGCCTGGGTTCCAAGGAACCCAGGGCTTGGGTCTCGATGGAACCCAGGCATTGGGTTTGTTCGAAACCCAGGCTCTGGGTTTCGGAACCCAGGCTCTGGGTTCGTTCGAAACCCAGGCTGCCTGGGTTCGTTCGAAACCCAGAGCCTGGGTTCGATCGAACCCAGGACGCTTGGGAAACCCAGGCTCTGGGTTCGTTCGAAACCCAGAGCCTGGTTCGAGCAAGAGCAAAAAATTAAAAAAAATTCTCTTTTTATTTTCTATGGATTTGGTTGGTTGATGATGATGAAGAAGGCAAGGCAAGATGAGGAACTCGGAACTGGGAAAAATAAAAAAATTCTTTTTTTTTTTTTTTTTTTGGTTGATTTGTGATTTTTTTTTTTTGGTGTGAAGATGAAATTAGATTAGATAAATAACAGTTACAGTTAGATCCGAGGGAACTCTATCCTTAAAATATCAGCATACAAATACACAGTAAGTTCCGAAGGACAGACATCCAAAATAACAGAGCTTTCTTGCTGAAGTTGTTTGGGGTTTGCTCTATTGTTTGACATTTGAATTTCAGGAAGGCGTCACAAAGTTGTTGATCAGTGCCACATTAATTTAAAAAAAAATAAAAATAAAAATATAACCTACACTACATTAATTTTTTTAACAGTACTTTTTAGGTCTTTTTTAAACATTTTTTGAAAGATTTAATTAAAAGTCTGTATACAATTTTTTTGAAGAATCTATTTAAAAATTTATTTTTAAATAATATTTTTAAAAATTAATTATCAAATTGTATAAAATTTTTTTAAAGAATCTATTTAAAAATTTATTTTCTAATTAATATTTTTAAAAGCCATCTATTTAATTAAAAGTTATGGATCATACATGTCAATTTTTAAATTGTTTTAATAAGTCTAACTACTTTGTTGATTATAAAAAATTTAA